GTGGAGGCCCCGACCTTCAAGAGCTCTGCAGCTGGCCTACCAAATACCTGGAGTATACCTGGTGAGAGTTCCGGGGGTCAATGCCCCTGCGGCCCAGTCTGTAACCAGGCCTCATAGTGGATCAGCGTCTGATCAACCAGGCTGTTACTGCTGGCTGCACGCAATCCAACGTAAGAACCACAGCCCGGCTGATCAGGAACTGACTTTAGGTGCTTGTCCAGTGCCAGCTTGAAGACTGCCAGGGGTCTGTTGGTAATCCCCCTTATGTGTGCTGGGAGGCAGTTGAACAGTCTTGGGCCCCTGACACTTATTGTATGGTCTCTTAACGTGCTAGTGACACCCCTGCTTTTCATTGGGAGGACGGTGCATCGTCTGCCAAGTCTTTTGCTTTCGTAGTGAGTGATTTTCGTGTGCAAGTTCGGTACTAGTCCCTCTAGGATTTTCCAGGTGTATATAATCATGTATCTCTCCCTCCTGCGTTCCAGGGAATACAGGTTTAGGAACCTCAAGCGCTCCCAGTAATTGAGGTGTTTTATCTCCGTTATGTGCGCCGTGAAAGTTCTCTGTACATTCTCTAGGTCGGCAATTTCACCTGCCTTGAAAGGTGCCGTTAGTGCGCAGCAATACTCCAGCCTAGATAGAACAAGTGACCTGAAGAGTGTCATCATGGGCTTGGCCTCCCTAGTTTTGAAGGTTCTCATTATCCATCCTGTCATTTTTCTAGCAGATGCGATTGATACAATGTTATGGTCCTTGAAGGTGAGATCCTCTGACATGATCACTCCCAGGTCTTTGACGTTGGTGTTTCGCTCTATTTTGTGGCCAGAATTTGTTTTGTACTCTGATGAAGATTTAATTTCCTCATGTTTACCATATCTGAGTAATTGAAATTTCTCATCGTTGAACTTCATATTGTTTTCTGCAGCTCACTGAAAGATTTGGTTGATGTCCGCGCTATGTGTCATGATTGTGACTAGACCTACCTGGAGTTCATTACCTTTGTAAATTGTGAGTTCATTACCTCTGTAAATTGTGAATTCATTACCTCTGTAACTTGCTCAGCTATCAAAACTTTGAGGCCCATTCCCTGGACCCATTATGTACCTCTGTAATCTTTTGACTACCGCCCACAGGATGGGTATGGGGTGCATAATAAACATATTAAACTAACTGTCCGCCTGGAGCCTTGCAGTGTCTGCAATGGAAGACACTGTCATGCAGATTCGGGTGTCATCTGCAAAGGAAGACACGGTGCTGTGGCTGACATTCTTGTCTATGTCGGATATGAGGATGAGGAGCAAGATGGGAGCGAGTACTGTGCCTTGTGGAACAGAGCTTTTCACCGTAGCTGCCTCGGACTTTACTCTGTTGACGACTACTCTCTGTGTTCTGTTAGTGAGGAAATTATAGATCCATCGACCGACTTTACCTGTTATTCCTTTAGCACATATTTTGTGCGCTATTACGCCATGGTCACACTTGTCGAAGGCTTTTGCAAAGTCTGTATATATTACATCTTCATTCTTTTTGTCTTCTAGTGCATTTAGGACCTTGTTGTAGTCATCCAATAGTTGAGACAGACAGGAGCGACCTGTTCTAAACCCATGTTGCCCTGGGTTGTGTAACTGATGGGTTTCTAGATGGGTGGTGATCTTGCTTCTTAGGACCCTTTCAAAGATTTTTATGATATGGGATGTTAGTGCTATTGGTCTGTAGTTCTTTGCTGTTGCTTTACTGCCCCCTTTGTGGAGTGGGGCTATGTCTGTTGTTTTTAGTAACTGTGGGACGACCCCCGTGTCCATGCTCCCTCTCCATAGGATGGAAAGGGCTCGTGATAGGGGCTTCTTGCAGTTCTTGATGAACACAGAGTTCCATGAGTCTGGCCCTGGGGCAGAGTGCATGGGCTGTTCGAAGTCATTTGGCGTCAGGATAACATCGGATAGGCTTGTGTTAATCAAATTTTGTGGCTCTCATAAAAAATTCATTTTGATCTTCGACTCTCAGTCTGGTTAGCGGCTTGCTAAAAATGAGTCATATTGGGACTTGAGTAGCTCACTCATTTCCTTGCTGTCATCTGTGTAGGACCCATCTTGTTTAAGTAGGGGCCCAATACTGGACGTTGTTCTCGATTTTGATTTGGCATAGGAGAAGAAATACTTTGGGTTTCTTTCGATTTCATTTATGGCTTTTAGTTCTTCCCGCGATTCCTGACTCCTAAAGGATTCTTTTAGCTTAAGTTCGATGCTTGCTATTTCTCTGACCAGTGTTTCCCTACGCATTTCAGATATATTGACCTCTTTTAGCCGCTCTGTTATTCTTTTCCGTCGCCTGTAAAGGGAGCACCTGTCTCTTTCTATTTTACATCTACTCATCCTTTTTCTTAGAGGAATAAGCCTTGTGCATACATCGAGTGCCACCGAGTTAATCTGTTCTAGGCATAAGTTGGGGTCTGTGTTGCTTAGTATATCTTCCCAGCTTATATCGGTTAGGACTTGGTTTACTTGGTCCCACTTTATGTTTTTGTTATTGAAGTTGAATTTGGTGAATGCTCCCTCGTGACTAGTCTCATTATGTCGGTCTGGGGCTCCACGCATACATGTCTGAACCTCAATTATGTTGTGATCTGAGTATATTGTTTTTGATATGGTGACATTTCTTATCAGATCATCATTGTTAGTGAAGATGAGGTTTAGTGTATTCTCCAGTCTAGTAGGCTCTATTATTTGCTGGTTTAAATTGAATTTTGTGCAGAGATTTAAAAGCTCGTGTGAGTGTGAGTTTTCATCAGAGCTGCCTCCTGGTGTTATTACTGCAACAATATTATTTGCTATATTCCTCCATTTTAGGTGCCTTAAGTTGAAATCCCCCAGGAGCAAGATGTTGGGTGCAGGAGCTGGAAGATTTTCCAGACAGTGGTCAATTTTTAACAGCTGTTCCTGGAATTGCTGGGATGTTGCATCCGGAGGCTTGTAGACTACCACAATGACTAGGTTTTGGTTCTCGACCTTTACTGCTAAAACTTCCACTACATCATTTGAGGCATTAAGCAGTTCTGTGCAAACAAGTGACTCTGCAATGTACAGGCCAACCCCCCCCCCTTTGCCTGTTCACTCTGTCACATCTGTATAGGTTGTAACCTGGGATCCATATTTCGTTGTCCAAGTGATCCTATGTGTGGGTCTCAGTGAAAGCCGCGAACATTGCCTTTGCCTCTGCAAGCAGTCCACGGATGAAAGGTATTTTGTTGTTTGTTGCTGGCTTTAGACCCTGTATATTTGCAAAGAAGAATGTTATCGGACTGGTGGTATTGTTGGTACTGGGGGGGATTTTTTTCCGGCATTAGTATCTGTATCTGTTGGTTTGGAGTGGAGGCCATCGACTGTGGTTCCACTCCAGAAATGACTGGATTTGGTGTACGATTTCTGCCATTTCCTGCCAGTTTTTTTCCTTCCTGGCACTAAAAAACCTCTCCCTCTTGAGTGGCTGTGGCTACCCAGGTTTTCCCATGGCCTGGATGTTTTGTATCTTTTTGTCCCCTTTAGATGGTATGCCTAGCAGTTTAAGTTATAGCACAGTCTTTCCTGTACTGAAGAGGTACACAGTTCAGGGTGAAAAAGCTTACAGGAAGGGAGTTTGCATTTTCCTGTTGTCATATGGGCATGGCATTTTCTAGGGTGGTCGTAGCTGCACGTCCCATCTGTTTTTCCAGATTTTCCATGCCAGCAGATACCAAGTGCATAGTATGTGCACAGGCTTGGTTTCCGTTTGCCTTGGGTTTCTGTGACTGTATTCCCTGTTGGTGCATGTTTCCCTGTCTTACTTCTATCCTCCCTAGCACCAACAATGGAGCTCCCACCAGTTGTTTTTGGTAATATATCCTCACTATTGCTAGTGGAGTCCTCTTGTTTGCTATTTCCTGCGGTATTTCTAGTTTGCAATATTGGTTTTATCTTATCTTTGACTACACTTGTTTCCCTACTATGGCTCCTGTCCCCTATGAGGTCATTTATATGTATTCCTTCCTACGTATAATTCCCGACTACCTGGACAAAATCTCCAGCTTCACCATTACTGTCTCCCAGGACAGCATCTCCAGCTTCACCATTACTGTCTCCCAGGACAGCACCTCCAAGATACAACATTTTCACAAATTTGACATTAGCACCATACCTGGGCGGTGAAACCCTGCCACAACTCTAAGTGCTCTCAGCCTTTCTTTGTATTGGGACAGTCTCGTTACAACAGGTCCAGCTAGTGGGACCTTACAGCCTAGATACCTGTATCTGGTTACATATTCTAGAAGAGACCCATCATGCAACTGGATCTAGCGAACTGTGCCTCTCTGTCGAGGAGGACGCCAATTGAGTATCTGTTTTATCAGTAGAGATTATCAACCCCAGGTCCTGACACGAGGCTAGTACATGGTTAAGGATGTTTTAGAGAATGATTCTTAATCGTCTCACATACAGAATCAAACAATTTTTATCTCCCCGGTTGCATGGTTTCATGCATGGAAGGAGCGTGCATGACTGCATATCCACCTTTCTCAACCTGCACACTGACAACTCATACACTACCTTCCTTGACCTTAAATCTGCTTTTGATGCAGCCAACCGACATGTAATCATTAGTGAACTTGCCAGAATGTATGTTGGAGGATGGCTTCTCCGCTGGATTAAAGGCTACCTGTCCAACAGAAAGTCTTCTGCGTTGTTCCAGGGGCATAGAATAATAACTGAAGACTTTGAATTAGGAACCCTACAGGGAGGTATGCTCAGTCCCACTCTTTTCAATATTCTAGTTAATGCCTTACTTAATACTATGCCTAGCCAGCCCCATCATTACATGATTAGTTTTGCTGATGATGTAATGATTCACACCACCGGATTCTCCAACACCCAAAACTTACACTTTGGTCGAGGTTCCTATTCCGAGCGCTGGAAGGCAGGGCTCGATACGGCGCATGCTGTCAATGGCCCTATAAACCCCAACAACAACAACAACTACTGGACAAGACGCGTTGAGAGTCGCGATTGGCTTACAGTCGGCGAATGAGGTTCACTCCAAGCTGTGATTGGTGGGCGCTCGACCAATAGCACGAGATAAGAGACATATTTGTTGTTGTTTTGGTTCTGGTGGAGGAAGCTGGCATCATGCTGGACGCTCTCTATAGCATCCCTTTCTTCGTGCTGGAGCTGCCCAAGCTCAAGTTGAAGAAGCCATCATGGATCACCATGCCCTCACCCATGGTGGTGTTCGCTTTCATCCTGCTATCATACTTCTTAGTGACAGGAGGTAAGTATCTGCCTTTATCCTGCTGTCATACTTCTTGATGACAGGAGGTAAGTGTCTTGCCTTCATTCTGTTGACATAATTCTTGGTGACAGGAGGTAAGTATCTTGCCTTCATCCTGCTGTCATACTTCTTAGTGACAGGAGGTAGGTGTCTTGCCTTCATCATGCTGTCATACTTTTTAGGGGCAGGAGGTAGGTGTCTTGCCTTCATCCTGCTGTCATACTTCTTAGCAACAGGAGGTAGGTGTCTTGCCTTCATCTTGCTGTCATACTTCTTAGCAACAGGAGGTAGGTGTCTTGCCTTCATCCCGCTGTCATACTTTTTAGGGGCAGGAGGTAGGTGTCTTGCCTTCATCCTGCTGTCATACTTCTTGGTGACAGGAAGTAGATGTCTTGCCTTCATCCTGCTGTCATACTTTTTAGGGGCAGGAGGTAGGTGTCTTGCCTTCATCCTGCTGTTATACTTCTTGGTGACAGGAGGTAGGTGTCTTGCCTTCATCCTGCTGTCATACATCTTGGTGACAGGCAGTAGGTGTCTTGCCTTCATCCTGCTGTCATTCGTCTTAGCAACAGGAGGTAGGTGTCTTGCCTTCATTTGTCATACTTCTTGGTGACAGGAAGTAGGTGTCTTGCCTTCATCCTGCTGTCATACTTCTTAGCAACAGGAGGTAGGTATCTTGCCTTCATCTTGCTGTCATACTTCTTGGTGACAGGAGGTAGGTGTCTTGCCTTTATCCTGCTGTCATACTTCTTAGCGATGGGAGGTAGGTTTCTTGCCTTCATCCTGCTGTCATACTTTTTAGGGGCAGGAGGTAGGTGTCTTGCCTTCATCTTGTTGCCATACTTCTTGGTGACAGGAAGTAGGTGTCTTGCCTTCATCTTACTATCATACTTGGTGACAGGAGGTAGGTGTCTGCCTGGTGGTATTTGGCTTCATCTTGCTATCATGCTTCTTGGTGACTGCCTGATGGTATCTGCCTTCATCCTGCTATCACACTTCTTGGTGTCTGTCTTCATCCTGCTTTCATACTTCTTAGTGAAAGAAGGTAGGTGACTGATGGTGTTTGCCTTCATCCTCCGTCAACAGACAAATTGGAGTTTTTATCCCATTTCTCGGATAATAAAATATTACCAAGAATGATTGGTCATGGTTTTGACTATCCCAATAATTGAAAAAGATCTAGTAAAAAGCCTATAAAACAGGCCAGGGGAGGAAGGGGCTCTCTAACCTTCCTCATGAAAAATCACCAAATCAAATTTTTCCACCATTGAGTTCTTTTACAAGTTATTTCCAGAGTGAAATTGACCAAAATCATCACTTCTTTAAAAGTATATACATGTCTTCCAGTCAGTAAGACCATAAAAAACTACCCTAGAAAACACCTCAAAGTCACTGTTTTACATGCAGACAAGGTCATTATGCACTGCATGGGGCAAGATTTATTTTATACTTTGCACACTTGCTGCATGGATTCATTCTTTCATGTATAGGCCAAGATTTTCGACTTGCAGCATATTTGAGGGAACCATGAGTCATATGTAGCTCTAGGTGAGTGACACTGGCATCAGTGACATAGATCTATGTATGTGACAGCAAAAGGGTTAACATGTCATGGGACAGGATATATACACAGATTTATTTCAGGTTTGTCAACTCGTGCAAACTAAAAGTCTCTAAATTCAGCTTTGGAAGTTTCTAAACAAGATTTAAAAGTAGCTGAAAAAAAACTGTTAATGTGATTATAAATAACTCATACCAATAACATTTCTACAGTAGAGCATATTTTATTGATTATTCTGAAAAAAAATATTAATATTAAAAATATCGCCATATTGAATTAAAAGTCACTAAGTTGCTAGATGCAAAAAAAGTAGTAACTGAATCACATCAAAGGTAGATAAATTTAACTACAGTCACTAAATTGGCAACCCTGGTTGTTTATTTCTCTCGGCATATATATATTCTAAGAGTTTAATCCATATTTTAGTGATTAAAGTTTAGTAATACCTTGGTACTTGAACAGCTCCCAACTTGAACAATTCATTATTTGAATGCTTTGTTCAGTAAAAAAAATGCTTGGTAGTTAACCGTTTGCTCAGCACTCGATCAAACAATGTGCATCAGTCTCCCCACAGCTGTTGCCCTGTGCAAAACTTTACTGAACTTCGCTGTAAACTATTTCATGTTTCTTCGCATATTTTGGTGTTTTTTATGGGGCCTAAGAAAATTAGTGATAACAGCCAACCAAAAAGAAAATTGGTTCGAGTCACAATAGAGGTGAAAAAAAACTCATAACGAATTATGAAAGTGGTGCCTGCGCCTCTGATCTTGTTATCGAGTTTTGTGTGGCGAAATCTATGATCTGTACGATAAAAAATAGAGGCCATTAAAAAAACTGGTGTTGCAAAAGGAGTGAAAGCGGTTATGAAACAAAGACCACAAACAATTGAAGAGGTTGAGAAATTTATTGATTTGGATCGATGAAAAACAGTTAGCTGGTGATAGTGTTTTTGAGACCTTCATCTTTTAGATTTATGCAGGCTAGGCTTGTAAACTTCATGTTAAAATACTTTTGTAAGTGTATTTTTGGGGGTCTGAAATGAATTAATCTAATTTATACTATTCCTTTTGGGAAAAATTCGTTCGGTACTCGAACAGATCGGCACTCGAACACCCTTCTGGAACGAATTAAGTTCAAGTACTGAGGTACTACTGTATTCTTGTCTGGTGGTGAAAATTTTACGTGCATCCTTAACCCTTTGAGGGTTTTGGTCGTACTAGTACGTTTTACGCGTAGGGGTTTTTGACGTACTAGTACTCATAAATTCTAGCGGCCTCAAATCTAGTGGGAGAAAGCTGGTAGGCCTTCATGTGAAAGAATGGGTCTATGTGGTCAGTGTGCACAGTCTAAAAAAAAATCCTGCAGCACACAGTGCATAATGAGAAAAAAAAAACTTTGACCATTTTTTTTTAATAAATCAGCGACTTTGCAGTGTATTTTCGTATGGTATTTATTGTTGTATTCTAGTTTTCTTGGTCTCATTTTGTAGAATGGAAGACATATTACAGAAATTGAGATGATTTTGACTGGTTTTACAATGAAAGGTGCCTTGAAATTGAGCTCAAAGTAGCAGAAATGTTCGATTTTTACCAAACTTCAAAAGTAAACAAATCGTGCCAAGCGTGCAATACACGTCAACTGGTGAGTCTAATATTCTTTTACAAGTGCACCAATAATATTTATACCATTTTTTACACTAATACAGTAGTCTGCATAACAGTAAATCTTATATTTTTTGTGAGAATAAAAATTCAAAGTGGAAAGCAAAAGGATATAAGAGGGCCCTTGAGACGTGACTAATGACTAGAGGAAATGTCATTTTAGTGCCAGGAGTGTCTTTCTTGTTTATTCTGGACCCTATTCGGAAATTGGCATCTATTGAAATTTGTGTGAAATTGGCAAAATTGCTAAATTCTGACCACTGTACTGGATAGTTGAATTTATAAATGGGTGGTTTCTTGCACCCATTCGATAGAAAAAATGGACTTCTAGCGAAATATTCATGTTTTTTGTCGACTAGTACAGTGAAATTGGCCGAAAATGGGGCTCAAAGTGGGCAAAATCGCCGATGCGTAAATATCGCCGAGACCGCTAACTTTGCGAGAGCATAATTCCGTAAGTTTTCTATCAAATTTCAAACTTTTGGTGTCTTTATGATCGGGAAAAGATTCTCTATCTTTTCATAAGAGAAAATAATTTTTTTTTTTTAAATTTGGCCGACCCTGAGAACGAGTTTCGGAGAGGGCCTGTCGACCCTCAAAGGGTTAATAATCCTAGTGTGGTCAATAGGCTTTAATCTCGTTAAGCAACCAACAATATCATGGCATTATGGAAGAATGAAGCATCTAGCTTGTTTTGAGTGTTGGGAATTATGCAGTAAAAAAACAGACATGTCTGTCAGAAATAAATACAGCTTTATGCAGTATAATGTCATGTGTTTATTTTCTTTTTAAATTATAAGAATTTTGAGAAGAATGAATTTTAATTATATGTACTCTCCCTTGAAGGGAGGTTCCTTGATACTAGCAAGGGGCTCTTGATCCAAGGAATTGAACCTGATTTCCATTTTTAGGATCAGACCTAAATACCTTTCATTTCCCTAGGTACTGTATGACTCCTATAGGTTTAGTGCTTCCTCCTATGAGTGTAGTAGTTGTATTTACTATGTATGAATTGAATACAAGCATGTCTGGATGAGGTAAATATGGGGACCCCTAATGAATATCTAGATCCCTTTGAAAAATTAAAGGGAAATAAATCACATCAAGCTTAAATTCAAATATTTATTTCTTTGTTACATGAATGCAGTACAGATTTCTGAGAATTTTGTTGTGTTCCCAACTAATAACATTGCCATTAAATATGAATGCTGTTGAAATTTTAAATACAGGTTAATATACTGTACTTTGTATTTTAAGAATCATAATTTGTTTATTGCTTTTCAACTTCCAGGAATAATTTATGATGTTATTGTTGAACCTCCTAGTGTTGGCTCCACCACAGATGAACATGGACACTCGCGCCCAGTAAGTACAGTATACCAAAGTTTGTATGCTCTTGATATCTAGTGTTTTGTAAGGTGTACGAATATAATTTCTAGCAATATTAATTCTACTTTAAGACACTGCCATTACATGAACAGTGACACTGGCCCTCAGTACCAGACCTCTGCTTTTCTTGACCATTATTCAGTACAGCCTTTCCTCACTTAGCGATGTACTCATTTACCAACTCCTCGGACTTATGACAGGATATCTGACCAGTATTCATACCTAAATAATGTGTATTAGAGCTGATTTCCTCTATTCTGTTTATTTCAGTATACAGTATACTACTGTATAAACATTTAAAAATACAGTGGAACCTCTACTTATGAGTGCATCCACATGCAAATTTTTCCATATTCGAACAGTCGCTCAGTCGATTTTTTGCTTCCAGATGCGAGCGAAATTTCCAGATGTGAGTGGGTCTCGAGGGAGGTTCCTTGACGCTGGTGAGGGGCTATTACTCTTGATCTAGAGAATTGGATCTCAGTTGTTTGTTGGACTATCGTATTGAAACTTGGGCACTGTATGATGGAAAGATGCTTCTTAACCCTTTGAGGGTTTTGGTCGTACTAGTACGTCTTACGCGTAGGGGTTTTTGACGTACTAGTATGCATAAATTCTAGCGGCCTCAAATCTCGCGCGAAAAGGCTGGTAGGCCTAGGTGTGAGAGAATGGGTCTGCGTGGTCGGTGTGCGCGGTAGAAAAAAAATCTGGGACCCAGTGGTGCATTGTGGGAATGCCCTCTTAGTAAACAATGTCCACCATGCCTCGTGGTAAGAAGGTCCTCACTCCTCGGCGAATTGGGACACTTTTGTTCCCCAGTGACAGTTCTAATAGTGATGGAATTGCCAGTGAAGATGAGTTTCGTGGTTTTAGTGAGGTTTTGACCGAAACTAATGACCATAATATCGGTAATAGTGAGGAAAACCCAGACGACCCTCAGCCTTCCACCTCTGGTGCTGGGCCCTCTTGTTCACGTTCAGTTGTTCCAGAACCCAAGAGGAAACTTCTATTTTCCCAAATCCCAGACTCAGATGAGAGCATGGGTGATGATAGTGATAGTGAATATGAACTACAAGCTCTTCAAACTAGTTCCAGTAGTGATAGTGAAGTGCAATATTCCCCAGTGAAGCGTCAGTATATACGACGATATATGCGCTCTGGTAGTGTGCCATATGTTATACCAAGGGGAAGGAGTGTATCTCGGAGTACATCCCGTGGCCGTACAACAGGAACAGACAGTGAAAATGACGAAGATACTGTTGCAATTGGGATGGAAAATGTGCGTGGTGGTAGTGGTGCCAGCGGTGAGGCACCAGCAGTGGGCCATGCTGCCACCCACGCTGCCACCCACGCCGCTGCCTCAGCTGATCTAGAACAAAGGCCACCATCCCCCACTCACCCACCACACCAGCCTCCACAACCACAACCACCTGTCATTGTCCAGTACCCACCAGCAGACCGCACCTGGGATTGGCAGGAAGCTGTCAGTTTTGTTCCAAATCCCCACCAGTTTGATGACAGCCAAAGTGGAATACGGCCATCTTGTGCACTTGGGAACAATGCCACTGAACTGGAATGTTTCGAGTTATTCTTTGACGAACCACTGATGAAAAGTATTGTCATGGAAAGCAACACATACTACGAGTACACCATGGAAACACATTACTTTCACCAAAATCACGTCTACACCAGTGGAAGGAGGCAACTGTGGCTGAGATGTATCTTTTCTTTGCCACAATAATGCTTATGCCACATGTGTATAAGCACAAAGTGAAATCATACTGGTCAACAGACCCCCTGATTGCAACACCAGGTTTCAGTGATATAATGCCAGTGAATCGATTTGTGCTAATGTTACGTATGCTTCACTTCTCAGATAAAACCAGGCCTGACAGAACTGACAGGTTATATAAGATTAGGAATGTGTTTGTGTATCTGAAACAGAAATTCAGTACGCATTTTTATCCCTTCAGGAAGCTTGTAATTGACGAGTCTTTGATTCTGTTCAAAGGAAGACTCTCTTTCAAGCAGTACATACCAAGCAAGAGGAAACGCTTTGGTATAAAGTTGTTTGTGCTTTGTGATTGTTACAGTGGTCTGGTATTGGATATTACAGTGGACCCCCGCATAACGATTTTAATCCGTGCAAGAGGGGTAATTGTTATGCGAAATAATCGGTATGTGAATGAATTTTCCCCATAAGAAATAATGGAAATAAAATTAATCCGTGCAAGACACCCAAAAGTATGAAAAAAAAAAGATTTTACCACATGAAATATACATTTTCCCACACACAAAGAGAAGGATACATGCACAATAGTAGAGTAGTACATGCACAGTATATATTGTGCATGTACTAGTCTACTAAATGAAGAATAAATGACACTTAACTTTATTGAAGATGCAGCAATGACTGATGAGACACTGTGTCCTGGGAGTGCCTTTTCCTCCTGAGTACTGTAGGTCCTGTTTGGCATTTTCTTCCAGAACAGGCCTTATCACACTGTGTATGCCACTACGATTCTTAAATCTCTCAAACCAACCTTTGCTGGCTTTAAATTCACCAATATGAGCACTAGTTCCAGGCATTTTTCCCTGTTCACCTGGGTGTTAGTCGACTTGTGTGGGTTGCATCCTGGGAGACAAGATTAAGGACCCCAATGGAAATAAGTTAGACAGTCTTCGATGACACTGACTTTTTTGGGTTATCCTGGGTGGCAAATCCTCTGGGGTTAATTGTTTCTTGGTATTCTCAATAAGCCACACCAACAACGGTGCTACAGCAGCAGCAGCAGCAGCTGACGGTGGTACAGCAGCAACAGACGATGCTACAGCAGCAACAGACGATGCTACAGCAGCAACAGACGATGTTACAGCAGCAGCAGACGATGCTACAGCAGCAGCAGCAGCTGACGGTGGTGCAGCAGCAACAGACGACGCTACAGTAGCAACAGACGATGTTACAGCAGCAGCAGACGATGCTACAGCAGCAGCAGCAGCTGACGGTGGTACAGCAGCAACAGACGATGCTACAGCAGCAACAGACGATGTTACAGCAGCAGCAGACGATGCTACAGCAGCAGCAGCAGCTGACAGTAGCAGCAGAGCCAGCAGAGCAGCTGACAGTGCAGCAGCAGCAGCAGCTGTACCACCAATAGTAGCGATGGTTGATTGGGGTTTATTATACAACCTGGCCAGCTCGGAGACACGCACTCCACTTTCATACTTATCAATGATCTTTTTCTTCATCTCTATTGTAATTCTCACCCTTATTGCTGTAGGGTTGGCACTAGAAGCTTTCTTGGGGCCCATGGTCACTTATTTTCCAGAAAAAGCACCGAAAACACTGTAATAATACGAAATATTCCGATTGTATGCTTGGATGTTACCGCGGAGGCTGGCTGGTAAACAATGCCACCGGCGGAACATGTGAGCGTGGCTCAGGCCGCACATTGGACGCGTCTCGGACGAAAATCGGTGAGCGGGTTTTTAAGCGGTATGTGAGGCAAAATTTTGGCGATTAAAGCAAGCGGTATGCGGATTAATCGCTATGTGATGCCATCGGTATGTGGGGGTCCACTGTATTGTGTACACTGGAAGTTATACATTGCAAAATACCAGGAAGTTATTGGGCATCTCAGGTGATGTGGTTCGAACAATGATAGAACCATACCTTGGTAAGGGGCATATATTATATACAGATAACTGGTACACAAGCCCCTCACTCAGTGATTTTTTGCGAGTGAACATGACAGATGTGTGTGGCACAGTGCGTGCAAATCGGAAACATATGCCCAGGTTTGACGCTGGCACTCGTAGAGGTGAGGTGCAGGCGTTTGCTGCCAATGACATCATGGCATTTCGGTGGCATGACAAACGAGATGTCACACTGTTGTCATCAATTCACCCTAATGAAATGGCAGACAGTGGCAGGCAGCATAGAGAGAGAAATGAACCCATTCTAAAACCTGCAGCTGTGATTGATTACACCTTCAACATGCGTTCAGTGGACAAATGTGACATGCAGATTGGGTTTGCTGATTGTGTTCGCAAGAGTTATAAGTGGTACATCAAACTGTTTTTTCATCTTCTGGACATTTCCATGCTCAATGCTTATAATATGTATAAGATGAGCACCAGAAACAAATCACAGTACGGCGAATTCTGTTTGTCTGTCATCAGACAAATAGTATTCAAGTACCAAGGAACAGCACCTGCAATTGACCGCCCACCAAATTTTCAACAACTACCTGCTCGTCTGAAGCATGGTGATCACTTCCTGGTAAAACTGCCTGCTACTGCTTTGAAGAAAAAGGCTCAGAAGAGGTGTTACGTCTGTGCACATACAAAAAAATGCACACAACAACGCAGAGACACTCGTTTTATGTGTGAGGAGTGTAAAACTCCACTGTGCATGACACCATGTTTCAAAGAGTTCCACAGGCTTCAGAACTTCTAGAAACATTCCCTGTGACTGTATATGTGTATATAAAATATAGAAAAATAGTAATAAACAACATTTCATATCATTTGTTTGTGTAAATATTTTCTGTAAACAAAATAATGACAACAGTGTTTACGCCCTTATTGTGTAGTATTGAAAGAGAAATAACTTACAAAATACTGATCATGTTGGCCTCAGAGGCCATAAAAGTTACTCAGAAAAAGAAAAATTGAAAAATAATTGAAAGTAGTACATAAAAAAGTAAAAAGAAAAATACTGGGTGACGGCAGTCGGCGATGTTACCATATGTTGTTCAATTTTGGCAAATTTCACGCCTCCATATCTCGGTAAGTATTGACGTTAAAATTTTTTTGTTTAGCCTATAATGTTTAGAAAAAAAAAACTCTATTTTTTCATAAGAAAAAATAATTTTTTTTTTTTGAAATTTGGCCTGACCCTGAGAACGAGTTTCGGAGAGGGCCTGTCGACCCTCAAAGGGTTAAGGTACACCAAAAATGAAAGAAATCGGATC